CCCGACAGAAGAGCTGGAGAGGCAGGCCCAATTAAATTGATGCCATATACATAGGGGGAGCGGGGGTTCCCAAGGTTGAACCATTTAAATAAGCTTTAACAGGGTGCAAAGAGGATTTGGGGGGCCAAGAAAGAGAAACAAAGTGATAGAGAGTGAGTGTAGTGTTGCCTGAGACTCACTCAACACATCAACAGCATGTACTGAAGTCCAAAAAGTCACAGGATTGCAAACGTTTTCTTGTTTTGTGTAAATCTGCTCAATCTTTATCCTCCTCTGTTCCCATAATTGAGAGGGGAGCAGGTTAAGTTATAAATCTGAAAAGAGTTTCAACGATAGGTCAGTTATTCTAATACATGCAACAGGAATCCACTCAAACAACCCTGTGTCGTTATAACAAATATATATTACAGGATTGTAATGACATTCTTACTCACAGTTTCAGCTTCCACTGAGGGCTAGTCATTCATGTGAACCACCCGTCTGTGGTTAGGAGGATTAACCCCAAGGTGATTGGATTTAAAAACTGGCCTAATGAGACAAAGGCTGCTGCTCTGTGATCAATGGACACAAGTTTGAGGGCATTTCTTGTGAGCTTAGTGTGTTACAACAAACAAAAGTTACATTTATATTCAGTGTTACTCACCAAAACATATAATGTGCATACGTGTGGTCTAGCAAACATGTTGAGTGTATTTTTCTCCAGTAAACATAGATGTAAATGATACTCTGTTTCTGTGCTTTTGTTAGCTTATTGTAGCACATTACCACCACCTGTAGATCAGTGGAATAGTGCATGAGCGATAAACAAACAGACCCATTCATAGAGAAACAGCCTCATATCGTGTGTAAGATTTAGTGGCATCTAGTGGTGAAGTTGCTGATTGCAACTAACTGAATACTGGTGCTGTTGGTATTTGACAACCTGGGAATGAGAACGGTTTGTGAAGCGTGGCGATTCAACGTCCACGAAAAGCCATGTACAGCATCTCTAGACAAAAAACGCTCATTCTAAGGTAACGAAAACTCAACGATTCCTATAGTCAGGTGATTATACACTAATGCAAACATACATATGAATATTATATTCCATTTCTGCCAATAGTTCCTTTCTAAATGTTACACACTGGACCTTTTAAGGGGCTCCCTTTGACTTGGCACTGAACAAAAACCACATTGTGGATATTCTACAAAGAGCTATGCTGACTTGCTTGGAGCTGTGGTTCATTAGTCATCCAAATGTATATTATATTGCTATTGTATGTGCACTCAACAGGCTACAACTACAAAATGATTCCACAGCTTGATAAATGAGGCAATGGGTTTATAATGTCGCTGTTTTGAAGATATATGGTTGTTTCCCGCTGGTCTGATCTGTTAGACAGATGGTGAATACACAGATGTATCTATGTTATATATTAATGCTGGGATTTCATTCATAGTTCTGAATCACGCTTAATTTAACACATTGCTTCCAAAAATATCCCATCTGACTTCCCGTCCGTGTGTTGGACATCCACGGGATAACTTAAATGTTGATTTTTCTCATCTTCTGGTATCTCTCATATTTATTTTTTCTATACTGCCAAGCCCAGTAAGGTATAGGGAGGTGTGAGTATACCGTGAGACTGTGTAGTAGTCTGTGTGTGTGGCTCTGTACTGGGGTATATGTGTCTGTGTACATTTCAGTGTTTGATTATGGGTCAGGGGAGGCCACAGGCCCACGGTGGCCTAGGCAGCCTCAGGCCTCTCAGATTTCAGAGCTGAGCATTCCTCGCTGGCTGCTACATAGCTGTGAAAACCGCAAAGCAGCTCCAACAACAAACACTCGAGGCACTGGGGGAAAGACAGCTAACCTGTGGCTAATCAACAACAGGAGGTTTCTCTCTCAACAGGATTTGTTCCCCATTTTTCAGAATTGCTGGCTTAATGGGAACAAAGTATTTCTCCTTTCCAGTGCCTATCTCTCCACTTATTTTCCTTCCTTTGTTGGTGTAGTGATTTGAAAGCACATGCTTCCTGCTGAGTAGTGGCAGCTCTGTTTGTGTGCGCTTGTTCGTGTTTATTTGACAGTTCTACATCTTGGACTTTCTCTTTTTTTTCCACTAAGAAGGGTGTGGAACAGTAGACTGTCTGGGCTTGGTTTTGCACTTTGTAAATAACTCAGTAGCAAAATATGCAGCTGTGTTTGAGTGTAATAATAACCAAACAAAAGTGTTTGTATAGCACGTTTGTGTTTGTCTCATGCCACCTTAAAATGAAAGGAACATACTCAGTCATAACAAGGACTGCTGACTCCATTTAGACAATCAGGATTAAAACCGAGCACTTTGCTAAAGTTCTGTTGAAGACAGATTCACAATTAGCAGTGTTTATATTTATGTCTGTGTTTATAGGCAGCATTGAAATTCATTCAGAAATTACATTTGATCCCTAATCTTCAAGAGTGTTAACAGAGCGGCCTAATTATGGCCCAGAGAGGACATTATAAGGAGATTTTGGCCTATAATTGCATCGGTTTGGGTAGGAATCTTTCAGTATCTCTTAAATAGAGCTATGGTGATTAGTCGATTAATCGATTAGTTAATGAACAGAAACAGTTGATCATTGTTTCAATAAATTTAAAAGCAATAATGGCTAAATATTTTCTGGATTCAGCTCAAATGTCAGAATTTGCTTCTCTTCTCTGTCTTACATTATAGTAACCTAAATATCTGTGTGTTTTGTACTGAACATAGTTTTGACCTTTTGTAGACCAAAGGATTAATGGATAATGAAAATAATCAGTAGTTAAGGCCCTACTTTTACTACATTTCTTTGCAAAAGCCATCCAGGAATAAGTTCTTCTGATGTTTAGGAGGCTACAATGTCTTGGAACTACTCTTTTCCCTTTAACTGTGGGAAACCAGTGAGACCGTGTTGAAAAGTGTAAAGGTGTAGCAATGGCGAGGCAGTAACCGTCTATAGTGAATCAGCTCCAGGTTAGCTGTGATGTGGTGCATTCTGGGTAACTGGGGTCCTCTGGAATGTATCTAACAAAAGGTGTGGACAGGCAGCAGGAAATAGCTGCAGCGTGGAACCAGGTAATTTAAGGCTTTGTGTGCAGTGGGGCGGTTTACAGTGAAACACCTGCCTACCTGCTGCCTCAACACAAACATTAGTTTTACTCCGTTTGTAGCTGCCTGTGTTTGGAAAGTGTGTGTGTGTGTGTCGGGGGAAAAGAGAAATGTTTAGCTGATGGGACCCGTGAGATCATCTGAATAAAGGTGTGTGTGTGTGTGTGTGTGTGTGTGTGTGTGTGTGTGTGTGTGTGTGTGTGTGTGTGTGTGTGTGTGTGTGTGTTTCAGGCAACTCTTAAAATGTTTTTCTGGGTCTCTGTAAGAGCGTGTTAATGCTGAGGTCACACCAGGACTCATTTTCTCCATGCCTTAATGTAGCGCTCCACTTCCTATTCACTTAACAATATAAATCAGGGACTATTAAAATGTTTCAGTCTGGAAGGTAAAGGGGGAAATTTAACATCACCTTGTGATTCGGGCTCATGAAAACCTTCATTTTGTGTTATGGCTGACCTCCAGATTTAGACAGGTGACGCATTTTCCTTGCCAACGTAGAGGCTGATGTAAATGACAGGAACATACTGTCTGGGTCTATGGGCTGGTTGTTTTGGCAGATAACCAGACTTATCATTCTCTATGGACTGGTAATAAAAAGGCTCCAGATGCACCTGTCTGTGCAGAGAAATCCATCAAAACTAATGCTAATGTCTGCCTCACTCTGGATCTACAATCAAGACAGTGGCTTGGAGCCTTTTCTGTCTCATTCAGTGAAGTCAGGTTGGGGGTGTTGTTAATTAGCTGTAGTTCACTTTACATTTACTTTATATCTTGGGTGTCATGCCATGATGTGTGATACATTATATATGATTGGTCTGTCAGGAGAAGAACAGGTGTAACTAATAACGTCAATGTCAGTAAGCCATTGAGCCAAGATACACAATACCGAGCCTCTGTCATTATCATTAGAATGGACTAACAACTTAGTTTTTAATTGTTTTTTGCATATTTATTTAGTTGGCAGTTTATTCAGCAGTACGATTAGATTCAGTGTTTGAACATCGGATTTTTCTCAGTATAATTTAAATCTCAGTAATGGGTGGTTTATGTTTAACGAGGAAGAGATGAACTGTTTCACTGCCCCATTTGACAGGCTCGTAAAGGGATACATGAATGCAGACTGTAAACAAGGTCGACACCATCACTTCCTTAACTCCTTAAATAGCTTGTGTCTTTGCCAAATCACATTACACTGGCTGAAATGAATCAAGTTTGATGGGCAAAGGGTTGATTTACATGACAGTGTAAACAGGGTAAAACATTTCTTTAAAATTCAGCTGTTGTAGTGGCACCTCTGAAAATGGTACGTCTATACATGATGAGTTAATTGATGAATATACATCAGTGTACGCAGTGTTGTTGTTTAAACAAATGGCCATACATGAGCTCAAAATTAAAGCCTCAATAAAATACAGAATAGAATTGTTTGGAAGAATATGTGCTAGGATATTCAAAGTTTAATATCCAGCTTCATTATACCCGGCATGCTAAATTAGAATGAATGACGTGCAGCCACAAAATGGCGCTGGTTTGACTGGATTCTTTACAAATATGAGGAAGTGAACATAAAAATACGTGAATTCTCTGACTATTTGGTAAGCTTGTGATAGTTTGTAGATTACTACAGGGAACCTACTTTTCCAATCACTCTTTTTTTTACCGATCCACAATTTTTTTACAGTTTTTGTAGATGTAATCCCACAGTGTTGATAACAAAGGTCTCTGCTCAGCAACACCTGAAACCAAAATCTACCTCTATAAAGGAATTCTGCCAATACTCTTCCAATACTTAACCTGATGGTTTTGGGCTATTGGATCTGAATCTTGAGCGTTCCTCCTGATGTAACCTCACTGTCTCTGCTTCCTTCTCTCTCTGTGTCCCTACAGAGGATTTTCAACTCGTTTGTGTACACCGAGAAGACATCAAACGGAGAGACAGAAGTGCAGCAGGTGAGTAACAAAGGCTTCTCCTTTCCTTTGTGTGTGTTTGTGTGTGTGTGTGTGCGTGCCTGCCTGTTTGTGCATGCATGTGTCATGGATGGTGTCTGTTCAGTGCTGAATTGAACACAACACAGGACCACAGACACACTCACACGTACACTTGCCATCAGAGGGAAAAAAGGGGGTTTATTAAAATTCTACGGCTGCTGTCTCATTGGCTTTGAAGTTCTCAGTCTGTTTTTCCACTTGTCTGTGCGCTGTCTCTCTCTCTCTCCCTCTGCTCACAGTGTGAGTGCAGCGTTGCAGTCAGAATAAGAAGGCTTGAAAGAGAAATTGGGAGATTTGTTTCATATGCCCTTGAAATCCACAAGTCAAAATTTTGTGTGTGCCATTTTGGTGCTAGGTTTAGGGAAACTATGCTCAGAATTGATGCTGTCCGGCGTCAAGTCAAACATGATTGCGCGCAGGCATTGTGGGTATTCACGTGTGTGTTTGCACTGTGTCGGGGATCTTGGAAGACTGACAGTAAACACCAGACTCGTAAACAGCCACCAGCAAGAACAGACAGGCTGATGTTTGTTTGCATTTCTCCAGTGACTGTGTTTCTGTGTGTGTACGCTAGTGTATCCGTCCGTGTCAATGTATGTGTGTGAAATACCTCTCACCTTGCCGTTATGTACTATTCCAGAGGTAGCTCAAATTGGCCTCGAAGCAGGTGAGTAAATGCGCATCACATGGGTTTGGTGTGTTAAGAAGCACCCAGAGCTCACTCATTCTTAGTCCTTGTTAGAGTAGTTGAACTATTTCACGTCCATGGCTAGCTCATAGAGTGCCCATACATTCTAGCTGCAACCTTGCTGAAGCAGACGCCGACTAATTCAGATGACAGCCTTGGCATAGTTGGCTCGCGTGTTCTGTCTGGGCAGAGGGGCTGTGTCCATGAGCCAAAGTTGAGGCTCAATTAGGAGTGGATCTGCAGAGGAAGAGAGGGCTGGGAGAGAGAGGGAAAGAGAGGGAGAGAGGGCAAGGGGCTGCAGAGAGGAGCCACCGGGCTGTCAGGCGAGTTTCTCCTCTGGAAATTCATTATTCAGAAAGACATGCAGACATCTGTCCCTCTCTAATGACACAAGCCTTCCCTCTCTGTGTCTGTTGTAAGGTCTGTTCCTGTCTTCTTTCAGTTCATTCTATGGATTTATTCTGCTTCTATTCTTACTCCTTGACATGTGTTGTCAGAGTGGATCTGCTGGCTGCCAATGTTTTCATGCTGGTCCACCATTCACGCATGCAGTGCTGTCTGTTAGTGATGGGTTGTTTTAACAAAGTAATACTTGACAGTCGCCCCTTGTACAGGTACTATAAAAAGTTCAAATCAGGCTTTATATAGCCAGTACAGTCCGTATTTAAATAACTAAATCGTATAAATTCTAAAAGTCAATATGAAGTTCTTGAACCAAAGTTTGTTGGCTATTAGCTCTAAGAATATACATGTGTGTTAAAATGTTTCTAGAAGTACTACTTTGGCTCATGTTCCTCAAATCACAGAATAAAAAATGTTAAAGCGTGCTCTGTGTTTAGCCCTGTTAGCAGCGTGTCTGACGACAATGGCCTTATCAGTGTGTCTGTTTGTCCACCAACAGCTTTTGAATAGATTGTGATGACATTTTGTACAAACATTGTTATGTGGACAAATCCTGATGAGATCTCCTGAGCTTTCATCTGGGGCCACCATGAAGTTGACATTTGTGGCCTCAGACAATTAGAGATACGCTGGCTTCCTACTGTAACAACAGGGCGTTTTTATTGTGCACTTAAAATAAGTGCAGGAGAAAGATACAGATCAGTAGCCTAGTGCACCACAAACCTTGGGAGACAAACCACAAGCCTCACTGCTCTGTGGCAGCTCTTTGGATAATGAATTGTAACACAAATACACATGTTCACTTGTATTGTAGACACACCCAGTTCAACTGAGTTTATTAAAACATGCATCCACATTAGGTGTTGACAGAGTGGTATGTAGTATCTGTTGAATCTACCACTGTAGCTGTGGTTGGGAGTGTTACGCAGTAGATGTAGCGTTCGCTCTGTGACATTTAAGAAACGGAAGAAAAAGGACAACCAGAAATGGTTTCATTCAAGTGAAAGATTACATTTTGATTACTTTAGTATTTCTTCAGGTCCACAGTGCTGACATGTTGTGTTCACAATTCTATTGGTTTACTGCATTTACTCTTGCATTCAGGACATCAGTTACAGCCATAAGACCACTAATACTTACAGCATGTCAGTGCAGTCATCTTTGCAATTTCCAGTCTTGCCACATCAATCTAAATACATGTCTGTTTTTCATAACATATACAGTTTTATTTAAACAAACAATCCCCTGCCTCAGCTTGACATCAAATAAACAATTTGTCATATTTGGCTGTTGTAATTCATCTTTTTGTAAGCCATTTTTGTTTAGTTCATTCCATGGAAATGACAACTTTTTCAAAACTGGTAAATTCCCCTCAGTATCTTACCTCCTGGTATCATCACAGTGTTCATGTATTTATAACAAATCTGTAAGCAGGAGGTTTTTCCATGTAAGACATTTCCTCACTTTATCAAATCATGCTGAATAGTTACATCACCACCGGTGGAGCAAACAAAGCCAGCAGTGTGGAAGTTCAACAAACCTTTTTGACATCATTGGAAGCAACATGTCCGCTTCTCACACCAATGAAAACGCTTTAATTCAATAACAAAATCAGTTTATGCAAGAAGAAGAAAGACATGTACTGTCAAGTTTCTACTGTGCCAGTCGCTTGTGCGCCTGCAGATTTTTAGTTCTGCAGAGCTCGACTAGTGTCGCTCTTATACTTATCCCTATTCTAACCTCATCCCTGCACTCCAAAGTAAGTCTTGGTCTTGCCATAAACACTAATGCCAGTGACTGGTGGTTGCAGGCTGACTGGCAAACCTCAAAACTCCCAGCACTAGATTTCAGGGTGCACCCGTTCCACTCACTCCAGTTCTGTGGCTGAATCAACCCCACTGGCTGCTGCAAACCCTAAAAAGCTGGTTGAATGGGTCATAGAGTGGAGAGAGGAGCCCTGTGTTTTAGAAGCGTGTGGTTAATCTGCAGAGCGCAGGTTTGCTTTGGCTGCACCGTGGCAGACTGTAACCTTAAGCTTTAACTTGCACGGCTCGAAGTTTCTGGTTTCTCTTAAGTCACTCTGTTAAAAGTCATGTCTTACTTTCTCCTTGTGTCTCTCTCTCTCCCCCTAGCTATGGAAACACTCCTCAGTTGAACACTGGCCCATTTTCCCCTTTTTAATACAAAGTCCACTGCAGCTAATTGCCATGCTGCACATGCATGGACTGTACTGTGTGTGGGGGAGTACAACGTTTGTGTGTTTAACTTTATGTCCGTGTGTGAGAGCGCACATTAGTGTCTTGGTGTGTGTGTGTGTGTTCCTTGTGGTGGAGTAGGGGTAATTGTGGGCTGTGCCTCAGGCCCCTGTTAAACCCCTAATAGGAATAGCGGCCGGCTGATTAGGTGTACAAGCGGTCAGTGGGTCGTGGTGCATTTCCCTGTTCCTGGCTTGAATCACAGCCCTTTAGCAGGCTCCGGTAATTATGGGATGTGAACAAAGGGGGTCCAGTTACTGTGGAAATAAGCCTTTTTCTGTATTCAACACGCCTGAGTAGGTAACTTACAATGGCTTTTGAAACTATTCAGATCACTGCCATTTTTCTATATTTTTCAGTGTTAATAGTGCCATCAGTGCTTACATAATACCTCATGATGAGAAGTTTTTGCAATTATGTTACAGTTTCTGTGGTTCTACCATTTCCGGTAGTGGTCATATTAAGCTGCAAAATGTAAACTAGAGCTGTCGAAACAAAGAAGCTGGATTCACAAAAGTATAGTCAGTTATATTATGGTGTAAACTTGGTGCGCACCACATCGACAGTTCTTAAATATTTCACACAATGTAGATGACAGTGTTATCCAAAAGTAACTGCAAGTGATTAGTTCTTTAACCGATCTCAAGTAAACCAGTGGATCATGTGACAGCTTTTAAATTAAGAGGATAATCTGTAACAGATTACATGCGTGCGATGTTTCAGATTAAGTGGAAGCGAGTTCCTCACAATTCCCCATAACATCCTTTCAGTGCCCTTTGAAAAAAGAAAGCAAGAACAGGAACCTGTTGTGAAGAGCTGCTGGTGCTTTGGTTATTAATGTCGCCCAGGAGGCTACTGGCGAGCTGGTTATTAGTTTCCCCAAAGGAGCTGGAACCCCATTTTGAAAGAGCACTGTGAGATGTGTACTCAACCAGAACCCAGTCCTTCACAAGAAGAAAGACAAAGTATAATGTATGCATGTCCCGGGACCTGCATTAAGGGCCCCAGTAAACACTGACTGAATTAGCCTTTTGCCTTTGTTTAGAAACACCATTTTCTCCTTCCTGCTTCCTTGTTTTCATGCATTTTAAAGGTAAATTACACCATAAAACAAAACTCCCAAACTCACTTGACATTTGTAGGGACCTTACATAAGATTTATCTCTTTTAAAATGAAATTATGTTGTTTTTTTTCTAACCAGGACAAATAGGTAGATAGTGTATTTAAAATGTGGATAAGAAATTATACATAAAGGCACAATAGCAAGTGGTAGAATCAGTTTCATTCATGTAAGAGCTGCAATGTTATAAGCTAAAAACTGTTTGATGCACTTGTTCTTTCCCACAAATATTTACAATACTTCTGCTCCCAGCTTTCACTTTACATTGGCCCTGTGTTGTATTTTAAGGTGTTTTTTTCTTATCATATGATGAAGGATGTGCTGTGTGGAAATGGAGAGTGTTTTTGTTCTCCAGCCTCAGGCATACATCATTCAGCTCTGCTGTTAACAGTGATGGATTTCACACTTAGTGCAGCCTGGGTTCTGGGCATCTTTGATATTGCTCAGCTCCATTTGTGAGTGTTGAATTGTGTTTGTGTACGTTTATGCGTGTATGTTGGATGTTCAGGAGAGTGTGTGTGGAAACGTTTGCTCACAGTTTACCTTGACACCTGTCTATTTAAAGTTTATAGTCACACTTCTAACCAGGGTTTCCAGATTTCTGATTTTTGAGGAAAATGTAATTGTGGATGAAGTTAAGGTGTAGGTTGAGTTACATTTCTGGCATTCTGCGGTCAGAGATGAGTGCTTTGCCTGCCCCAATATACAATTCTAGTGTTCCCTTAAGATTCATCATGTCATTATTGCCAAATTTAGAAGTTAGCTATTTATATTATAAATAAAACATAGACAGACAAGAAGGCTGAGGTCACAGTGAAAGGAAGCTTGTTTTAGAACAACAATGTAGAAAAAAGAGAGGAGGATACACTTGAGAAGTAAGAAGCTAAGACAATAAGAAGAATTATGAGAATGCTTACTCAATATAAATATAAACAAGTGGAAAACAAGATACAGTGAAGACAAAAGACAGAAAAGGCTTTTATGTTAGAGAGAAGAGCTGATCTAGGTCAGTTTCTTTATTCTGCTGTATCTATATGCATATAGCAAACTACAGTGCGCAAACAGGGGAGGGGGACAGAACAAACAGAAAAAAGGCCATCATTTTAAAGAGCTTCCTAAATTGGCTGCAATATTTACCCCCAAAAAAACACACCAAAGTAGGAAGCTGTATATTCAATGTGCAACACCTTGCAACCACAGTCAACAGAACCCAATTTGGAATCAGTACTTTTATGTTTTATCTTTACTTTTGTGTGTGCGCATATTTGTGTAGATCCTTGATGTGAATCTTTACGTCAAGCGTTAGTTTGGCAGGTTTTAAGCAGACTGAAGTCTAGATAACATCTCGTCTGGCCTAGAAAGTAAAGATTTTCTTGATCAGTCTTGCATATGTAAGCAAGGAAGTAAGAAAGAAATCTAGGTGTCACCACTAATCATTGTCTGTGTTTGTGTTTCCCAGCTGGCCAAAAAGATTCGTGAGAAGTTTAACCGCTACCTGGATGTGGTGAACAGGAACAAACAGGTGGTTGAGGCCTCCTACACCGCTCACCTCACCTCTCCACTCACTGCGATACAGGACTGCTGCTCCATACCTGCATCTATGATGGAGTGAGTAACTTTCATGCACGCACACACACACACACACAGACACACAAAGACACACTTTTCTCTTTGTTTGTCTCTCTCATAACACTCGCACACAAATCTCTGCAGGAGGGTCATTCTCTGTCTGTAAACCCATGTCCCACTGTTAGCACCTGCACTCAGCTCTCTATACATTGCTTTATGCTTCAGCTACGCACATGCAAATCTCCATCTCGCCTTTGTTTTAACATGTTTTGATCACCATTGGATTACATCACGTAATTTACAGCCTTCAGCACTTCTGGCACGCTCTGATATCTGGCAGCGTTTTTAAAACTCTTACCTTTTATTTCAGAACCTATTCAAGCAGTCAGTAGTTGTGCCAGTTGTTGCTTTGCTGCAGTGTACCCTGACATTAAAAGTTTTATGGTTCTTGGAGCGCAGGAAAGTAGTAATGAAGTTTTTTGAACCCTGGAGATTTGATGGCTTTGTTGGCAACCACTTATATTCACTAGATTTTTTATTTCATCAAGAAATTTCTAAACTTCCAAACCTTTTGCAAGAAAAAATGCCGATGTTATGAATGACTATATGACACAAAATTTGATTTCAGGATATTATCTTCATTGTGTTCCTCATAAATTTAGTTTGGGCACCAAAATAAGCCACAGGGCTTTGTCAAAAGGATGCTGCATGACAAATGTTTGAGTTTAAAATTGCCCCATCCTGTAGACCCAGCTTTTCAGCCAATCGCCGACTCCAGCAGGTGAAAAAAACACCATTCAAAGCAGAGCCCAAAGAGAGGGAGAGCTGCTTTCAGTTCTAATCTACAGAGCAGCAGCTGTCTCTACCCCTCATCCCCTCTCTCTCCATTTCTGCCTATCTCTCTCCCCTTTATCAGCCGATGTAACCAGTTATTGCTCTCTGAAGTTTTTCGCGCTGCAGACTTCACAGGCTGCAAGGTCACCTGTCTTTTCTGCAGTCGTGCAGAGAGGGAGGCCGCCTGGCTCAGGGCCACTGGCCACCTGTAGCCGAATCATGCACATGACATACTGTACATGCATTCAACAGTTGTTCACACGCTAACATGTTGTATTTATGTCCTGACATGTGTGGTGTAAACCCAGGTCTAAAACCATGGATTTACAGCTTTGAGAGACAGTCTGACGCAGAACTTGCTGAGAAAAAGATTATATAAGGCCTGGATGGGAAGGATGGAATGATGCAGAGGGAGTCACATGGGTGGTTGTGGGGGGGATGGACATACCAAACTGAAGCTGAGTCTGACAGATCCCTGAACTTCAAAGGATCTTCCTCAGGGGAGGAAAAAGGCACAGAGCTCTCCTGCTTTTATTTTTTTTTGGGTTTGTGCAAGATCGTGACATACTTTTCAGGAGCAGTGCGTAGAATAATTTAGCTCTTCTTCCCGAGCACCCTGTATCGTGGAAGCTAGCTAAAGAACCAGGCACCTCGTAGGTTAGGTTAAGCTTTAGTTTATTCCTACTGTATGTTGTTGCCAAACTTAGTTTGTCCACCAGAGAGGCCTGAAAATGTCCTGCTCTGCCATGTCAAAAATGCTTGTGATGTCAAATACGAGAAATGGTTTTCTAATGACAAATACGCAAACATTATTAGCACATAGGTCGAGTTCAAATACAATACAGCAGTGATCAACCTTAGCTTAAGAAAATGGATAAAAGTGGTGTCCTGGGGGCCTAGTAGTTAAGATGCCGACCGTGTCATATCTGTGACTATGTCCTTGATTTGTGTTCAGTCAAAGAATTTTCTTGCATGTAAAGTGTCTCACTGAATAAAGGTGTAAAATACAGATGAATTATTTATTTTATTTTTTTCAGAAAAGAGTAAAAGAAACTAAAAACTAATCTCATGTTCCTGGGGGAATAAGATCTATCCTTAAATCAGGACAGGACTTCAGCTCCCTGTAGTCCACTTCACTAGTGTCCTTCATTAGTCTCAGCCATCAGCTGCTTCTGGGTTAGTCAACTCAGTCAGGTCAGCCAGTTTAGAGGGGGGATCAGGTGGTTCACAGGGTGTCCATGTCTGTTAGCCATCAAGCTAGCAGGCTATCATTTCACCAGGAGGCCACTGAGGGCAGTGCTTAGCGCCCAGTGGTATGCTTTAATCACTGACGGTCTCAACGACAGACGGTACCTGAAAATAGAGAATGTATGTGACTCATACAGTTGGTGTGTGCATGTGTGGTTGTATGTTTGTATTTTTAACATGCAATCTCCAGGTGCTCATATCAACAGTTCCACTGCTATGCAGTTGTAAAAGTGAGAAGTGTGCTTGGGAGCAGCCCAAAGGGTATTTAACGGTCTCATTTCACCAGTAGTTCTACAAGAGATAAGCTGTAAATGGACTGGGCAAGGAAAATGCTATTCATACGATCCAGAGTACGATCCAAACAACTGTCTCACTACAATAGAATAGGAGAAATGTATAGGGAAGGTAGAGGCAAACAAAATATGGCAAGGTGTCCCTAATCATGGCTGGGCCACTCTAACTGCTTGCACAGACAAATGTTAAAATTTAAAGGTCCAGTGTGCAACATTTAGGAGGATCTATTGGTAGAAATTGAATACATTGAATGCATAACTATGTTTTTATTATTGTATAACGACCTGATAAAGAAATCGTTGTGTTTTTGTTACCTTGGAATGAGCAGTTTTTATGCTTTTTCTTCTAAGACATTACTATATTGATTACTGTACCTAGAACAATTTGAAGAAATACTTTCAATACCATAAACAAAAGATATGCAACCTTAATGTTTGAATGGATTTTCTTTTAACAGGAAGATCTAAAAAAGAAAGTAGTAATCTAACCTTTTCCAATCCATGCCAAGTGTTTTGCTTCTGGCCTTCATTGTAATATATAATATAGTATAGAAAGCTTCAGAGAGCCTTTAGAAAGTTTCGTAAAGCTTTCTGAAACTACAGTATATCTTTTAAAACAGATATATGATGTAATACTGATTATATTAATTTGCTGGTTTCTCAATTAAAAGTATTCTTTGCATGTCGCACACCTTTTTCTTGCTGTGTCTACAACTATGACAGTCGCCAGCATTTTACAGCCATCTGGGTTGAACAGAACATCAGATGCCTAACTCCAGTGAGCGCAGGATTGCTATACAATATGTAGTAATATCATACGAGAGATGATATTGCAAAATTTCCAATCCATCACTCATAAATTAAACCTAAAGATTAAAGACACCATAGTGTTAATACAGAGAGCTCCTGTTTCTAAAGGAGAATTCTCACTATCTGAGCTATTGGCAGATTTACAGTCCAGATCAAGAGTATATGTGGCACCAATGAGAAGCTTCTCTGAGTCAGAGCTTCAGATCAAGCTGATGTTCTGGTTGCTCATTCAGCACGATGATGATACCTCTCTTTCCACATTAGAGAAGGGCATGGATGAATACCAAGCAGGTTGTGGAGGGGGGGTTTGTTTAAGTGACCTGAACAGGTGTAAATCTTGGGCCACTATCAGAAAGTTGTTTGTCTCTCCACATACCTCTTTTAATGTCAACCTCTTCCTCTTTCCTTCTTTGTTACTCCGTCCTTGCCTCCCTTAAACTCCTGTGTTCTTTCTCTGCTTCCATTTATTTATTCTTCCTTCCAGCCTTCCTTCTGTTTTCCCTCCTTGATATACTCCCTTCCTTCCAATGCTTGCCTTTCTTATTTCCTTCCTCCCCCTCCTCTGTTGATATTCAAGGACAGATTAAGCAGTGAGGAGGTCTTTGGGTCTCCACTATTTGGCCTGTTTCCAGCACTTGAATACCCATTCAGACTCCAGTTGCAGTCATCGTCCAGTATCTCAGTTGGGTGATCAAATAAAAGGTGAAATGAAAGTCAGATCCAAAATGTAAAGTTTTAGTCAAATCATAGTAATAGGATTTATTCAGCTAATGAGTTACTTAACCAAAAAATACATCATCTAAATGTTTTCTTCTGTATTATTGTCTCTCAGCACATGCATGCAGTATTATGCTTATTAAAGACCAAAGCATAAATGGGAATATTATTGGTATGCCAGAGATGTGACATCATTTCCAGCATGAGTAATGCAGTACATAGCCCATAATCTATAAAATAAAATAAAAAAGGGTTTGTACTTCACAAATGCCATAAAAAGCAATTACTGGAGAAGGAGACTAATGGTCTACCATAGTTAGAGTAAAGAGTCCCATTTCCCCATCATTAGAGATCTGCAACCCATGTTGGGTGAACACAATCCACATTCAGTCAAACCTAAAATCCTTCAGCAATGGACTTTACTCTTCATCTTTTAGAATGTGCTAGACAGTATACAAAACATATTAAGTGATAAACATTTAAGCCTCAGCAGCAGCCTGAACATTTCAGCTGCGGCCCGTCATCTGCCCTCACGTGCATTGCATTCTGCGCACAGCGAGCGAAAACACACTTCCAATAAAGGTGAAGCCTTTGAAGTTTTTACTGGAAGCAAATGTGAACCAGTGAAACAGCATTGGACAACTAATTCAATTATTACAAAAAAAGCTGAGATACTGAAAACAGGAGTCAGACCGAAGGTATTGTAAAAATAAATTAGCACTGAAAAAAAGAAACTGGATTAACTATTAAGTATAGCCTAATGCTAACTCTCAAATTAGTTAGTAGGAACAACATTATGGTTGTACAATACTGATTAATATAGGTTAGTAAACATATACACAAGAGTAAAAGTTCAAAAAGTAAAAGAGTTATACCGTTATTGTTATGTTCTATTAGCAACATATTAGCAACATACAGCTGATATAATGGCTAACTTGGTTAGGGTTCCCTAAATCAACAAACTACAAATCTACAATCACAAAACCAGCTGTAATACAAACAGTACATACAGATAACGCTCCAGCAAGGACATTTAGGGAGTAGATCAAATATGCTTTGTCAATATTTGCTTGGTCATAAATCTGACAAAATGGTGGCTGTAGCAATGTCAGTTAAACCACTGTGGAACTGGTTGCT